ATCCATGGGTTAAATGCTTGAACCAGTGGTGAATTCTTTTTTTGCCCTCTTGGTCTCCCTTGATTTCCTCGTATAGGTCTTAATAAACTTGTCAGCTCTATTATTATCCTCCCCTAAAAGCTTCACCTTGCCCTTAAGGAGAAAATCTGGAAATTATGTAGAGATAATGTCAGCTTTCTCCCATGAATTCTTAGACTTAGGTAAGTCGCTCCATTTCACAAGCATCTGGCCGGCCGTTCACAAGCCGTCTGAATTTTTGAATATCTTCAGGCTGAACCTGAAGTTCAGACTCACTAGAAAGTGTTGAGGGTATTGTGGGATTCACTGTAGTCGTCGGCATTGATTTTTTTTATCTAAGAAATGTGAAACACCAAGTGAATGCGAGCTGTGGGGGGGAAGATCCAGTTTGTATGCTATTGGGCCAACCCTTTCAATGATCTTAAAAGGGCCATAAAAGCACGGGCTGAGTTTCTCATTCACCTTCTTAGCTATAGTCTTGAAGCAATAGGGCCTGAGTTTTATATAAACCAAATCCCCAACTTCTAATTGTACATCCCTTGGATGCTTGTCAGCTTGCTGCTTCATCTTGCTTTGTGCAACATTCAAATTCTCCCTCAAGATTGCAATGACTTGATTCCTAATCTGAATCTGATCATTCACTTCCTCTATGGCAGATGGCTTTTCATTCAACTTCAAAAAGGAGGGGGGTCCTCTCCCATACACAGCCTTGAGGGTGTGCTTCCCTTCCCCTCCTTTGGTTAGGTGGAGGGGAGGGGAAATTTTTCCCCTCCAAAACATCCCCCTCCAACCCCTCCTTCCCCTCCCCCTCCCTTCCCTCCTCTCCCCTTACCTGCCCTCCCCTCCCCTTAAACCAAACAAACCCTAAATGGTGTCATTCTAGTGGAGCTATGATAGGAGGTGTTATAACAATATTCAACCCACGGTAACCATTGAACCCACTGGTTCGTCTTCTCATTTGCAAAGCAACACAAATAAGTTTCTAGTCTCCTATTTAATACTTTTGTTTGCCCATCGGATTCAGGATGGTAAGTAGAGCTAAGGCAAAGTTGTGTACCAGCTTGCTTAAACAAGTCTTGTCAAAATTGACTCACAAACACCTTGTCTCTATAGGATACTCTGGTCTTTGGCAACTTCACAATGTTATGCACAAATTTTTCAGCAATATCTTTGGCTGTGAAAGGGTGTGATACTGGCAAAAAATGGGCATATTTAGTGAGTCTATCTACCGCCACCAAAATAGTGTCATACCTCTTGGATTTAGGTAGCCTGGTAATGAAATCCATGCTAATATCCTCCCATACTTGTTGAGGAATAGGTAAGGGCTGTAAAAGTCCAGCAGGAGACAAAGCTTGGTATTTATTTTTCTGACATACATCACACCAAGCCACATAATGCTAGGTGTCTCTCTTCATGCCCTCCCAAACATTGGCCAACCTTTTGTATGTGCGCAAATACCCTGAATGCCCAGCCATAGGGAATCATGATATTCTTTTAATAATAGAGGAATGCGTGCAGAATTCCTTGAAAGTACCAAGCATCCTTTGTAATGCAAACACCCTTTAGCCAAGCTGTACCCTTCAACTTCTTCTTGATTGGTGTTGAGCTGCTACAAGATCTTGCTCAATTTAGGGTCGTTCTGCACTTCTGTCTCCCATTCTTCCATATCATGGTGCTGCCATAGTGAGAACCCATCATTTCTAATGATTCTTCTTGTCTAGAAAGAGCATCCGCTTGTAAGATATGTCAAACTTAAATCTCATTAATTTTGGAAACCCATTTCTGCTGAATCTCCTTTAGAACTCGTTGTTCCAGCAAGTATTTGAGAGCCTTTTGATCTGTCCATATGGAAAATTTTTGTCCCCACAAGTAGTGCCTCCACTTTTTAACAGCCATCACAATAACCATAAGTTCTCACTCATAAACAGAACATTGTTGTGCCCTGTTAGAAAGTTTTTGACTATAATAAGCAATAGGTTGGCCACCTTGCATTAACACTGCACCAACGCCAGCCCTGGATGCATCTATCTCTAGTTCAAATGGGGCGGAAAAGTCCGGCATTGATGACACCGGTAGTGTAGTCATCGCTGTTTTGAGTTGTTCAAAAGCATCATTAGCTTTGGTTGTCAATTTGAAGGCATCTTTCTTAAGCAAGTCAGTAAGCAGACTCACTATTTTTCTAGAATTCTTGACAAATTGTCAGTAGTACTTGGTCAGCCCTAGGAATCTCCTCAAGGACTTCACATTCTTAGGCATAGGCCATTTCAGCATCCTCACAACCTTTGTAGGATCAGCTTGGACCCCTTCCTTTGAAATGATGTGACCCCTTCCTTTGCTCAATCTTCGGTTGAGCAAAGCTGCATTTTTTTAAATTTACCACCAGCTGACTTTCTTTCAAGCAAGTTAGTACAACTTCAAAATGTTTCAAATGTGAAGATAAATCAGTGCTGTATATGAGAATATCATCAAAGAATACCAACACAAACTTATGCAATTGCTCCTTGAACACCTCATTCATTAATGATTGGAAGGTAGAGGGAATATTGGTTAAACTGAAAGGCATCACCTTGAATTCATAATGACCCTCATGTGTCTTGAAAGTAGTCTTGTGTTCATCTCCCGCTTTAATCCAAATCTGATGGCATCTAGATTTAAGGTCCAACTTTGAAATAATGGTTGCTCCCTTCAACTCATCTAGCAATTCATCAATGGCAGGGATAGGAAATTTGTCTGGGACCGTAATTTTGTTCAACACCTGGTAATTGACACAAAATCGCCAACTCCCATCCTTCTTTTTAACCAAGAGGACAGGGCTTGAGTAGGGGCTGTTGCTAGGTTATATAATCCTAACATTTAGCATCTCTTTGACCATATTTTCTATTTCATTTTTTGTAAGTAAGGGTATTGGTAGGGTCGAATGTTCGATGGTTTTTCCCCTGGCTTGATTTCAATTGCATGGTCCTTAGATCGCGGTGGAGGCAATCCCTTAAGGGTTCGGCAAACTTTTGGAAATTCTTTCAATAACACTTGAACTTCAAGAATTAGACTCTTCTCACTCCCTTCTTCGCTGACTAGGCCATTATATTCAATTAGATACCCTTCCCCTTTTTTCTTCACTAATCTTATGAGAGATTTGAGAGTCGTTTGATTTTTGGATAAGGTAGGATCACCCTGCAAACAAACCATGTCTCTCCCTTTGCCAATCTTCATTGTTAACCGATTCTAGTTCATCTTCACTTCTCCCAATGATTTCAACCACTCAACTCCCAGGACAACATCCACACCACTCAGAGGGAATGGGTAGAATGTCTAGTTTACCTCAAGCTTGAACCGGTGGTGAATTCTTTTTTTGCCATCTTGGTCTCCCTTAATTTCCTCATACAGGTCTTAATAAAATTGTCAGCTCTATCAGATATTTATTAGATATTTATCTAGATAGATATCTAGTTATTTAGATTCTATTTAGATATTTATCTATATATCTAGTTCTTTAGATTTTATTTAGATATTCAATTGTTTTGGGTTATTTTTAGCATTATAAATATGCTTAGTGACTCAAAAGCTAGTATATTTTGAATAAAATAGACTTTTGAGTTCTTTGAAGTTTCTTTTAACCATGGCTAGTGAGAGAAGTATAGATCAAAATTCTTGTTCTATATTATCTTAATAGAATTACTCTTCTTATTTCTTTCTATCAATTTTGAACATTTATCATTTAGAATTAGAGCCATCCGATCTTTAATAGGTTCCTACCACCTTTACACCCTTCCTAAACCTTCATTCTCACTGCCTATTTCGGCATGCAATTCCTTATCTAACCATTTTCCCTTACCTTATGATACACACCAATTCCTTTACATCATAGCTCACCTTGACATCTTTACTTCTACAATTAGGGCACCACCAATTGTGCCAACTAGCAAACGAATTAAAGCCAGCCATATTCATTTAGGAGTTAAGGGAGATATGGAAATTCACAAATGGAGAACTTCTCAACCTAAAAGTGCGTACAAGCACTTAAGTTTAGTGTTAAATAGTGACTCGTGATCCCAAAGGAGTGCAACAACCTAGTCAAAATGAAACACTATTGATTGGAAATACATTTATTCATAAGGCTGAGAGATTCGACCTTCTCTCCATCTCTTAGAGAACCCAACAAACTCCATGCCTTCTTCAGCTTTGCACGTTTCTGTTTTAGAGCTTGAACATGGTGAGGAACTCATCTCTCCACTGAAAGACATCACTGGAGTCAAGATAGTACTAGAAATGCCAATCCTTCCTTTGTTGCAGGTTTAGGAAAAGCTGCTATAGAAACAATGAAGCTTAAGAAGACCTTCTTTGAGTGCAAGGTTCTAAATTTGGTGAATAGTGAGTCTCTTTTTTGGCCCAACTCTACTTTTGGAGCCCAAATTGGAGATACTGCCCTTGTTGCTCCCATCTAAGCCTCCAAACATCCAAGAAAGTTATTGCCTATGTCTTGGCTTTAGGACAAGACAAATTTCTAGGAAGGAGTATTGACGAGGTACCGATTAATGAGGGATAATAGGTGATTTGGGAAGTTAGAGAAATATTGGGAATAAATATTATTTTTAATTTATTTTAGATATTTTCTATTTAATAATATTATTTAGTTTTTATTTAGATTCCTAGATATTTATCCAAATATCTTAGATTTTATTCATATATTCAATTATTTTGGATTGTATTTGGCATTAAAAATATGTTTAGTGACCCAGAAACTGGCATATCATGAATAAAACAGACTTTTAATACTTTTGAGCTCTTTGGAGATTCCTCTGAGCATGGTTATTGAGAGAAGTATATAGCGAGATACTTGTTCTATATTATCTTAATAGAATTGCTCTTCTTATTTTTTTTTTCTCAGTTTTGAGCACCTATCAAATATTGTCCTTGTGATAATGGAAAGACCACTTCTCTAAGGGAATATTCAAATTATGCTAAATTTTTGATTTTCTTTGCAGGTAAATGGGAAGTTTTCAAGTGATCAATCCCTTATATATAATGTAAGTGCTCTTTCATGCAACTTCATTTATCATATGGAATAAAAATGTGTATTTGTTTTTACTTGAAGCAATCAGCATGCAACTAAATGAACATTCAAACTATAAGTGCATTTCTGCAGAATCACTTGCACAAAGTTCGGCTTAAATAATTCATGAGATGCAGACAATTGTTTAGCTTAATGTTTTATAGAATTTGTTTCAACAGCTCTTATTTTTTTACTTCCATCATTCCACAGGCTGTCCTTGATGCCCATAATGATGTCATAGCTGCAATGAAACCTGGAGTAAGCTGGGTTGACATGCACAAGTATGAGTGTGCACTGATATTGTTTCCTTTCAGTAACTATAATTGTGCCTCTGCTTTTTGTTAAATTCTTAATAGTAGTCATATGCGTGTTTATATTTATTAATTTATTGGATATAAAATGCTAAATCTTATGGCTTGTTGGATGAGTTCGACTATAGCAGAATCATGCCCTAGGTAGTTTGGGCATGTGTATTGGTATTTCCTTGATTAATTGTCACCAGTATGTGAATGAGAATTCAATTTTCTTGTTTTATCATTTTATGGGACAGAATCTAAAGGTGAATCTAGTTAGAAGGGATCATTAGACTATGTGATGTACTAGTATGGAAGGGTTCGTAGAATCTATAGACTGAAAAGAAGGAAAGGATTCTTTACTAGATAATATGAGCAAGGATCTTAACAAAAAATAATGAGGCCAGGAGAATTTCCAATATAATCAGAATTTTTTTTTTTTTTTTGAGCACCCGATATGCTGGCCTTGCCTCACTCAAGCTATGAGGACTTAACAGGGGCTCAAACTAATCTAGATCGAGGCATGATAAGCAGCACAAGAGTGGGCTTACGCTGCTACGTTTTCAGAACTCGAACTTGAGACCTCTGGCTAAGCTAGAACAACTCTTGCTAATTAATCTAAGCACTCTTGGTTAATACAATTAGAATTAAATCTTTGTATAATAAAAGGAATTAAATCTAAAGGTAGCTTCCTAACCCTAATTTGTTATTTTAGTGTTGACTAATATAATAAAAATAGGATATTAAAAGTTTGGAAAAATATATAACTTTTAGTTCCTAAATTGTTTCTGAATTAGTGATTCAATCTCTAAATGTTGACTTAGAATAACATTGTCCCTATAGTTTCTTGACTCGAAATAACTTAGTTCTTATATTTTCTTGACTTAGAACAATTTGATCTAGATAGTTTTTTGACTCAGTACAACTCAGTTTTTATAATTCCTTAATAAATGTTTTGTCCCTCAAAACAAAAACACCTAGAAGTAGTTTATAAGATCCTAAGATATTTGAAGTGCACCCCAAGAAGAGGTTTCAAACGGGAAAACTAGCCAACATTGAAGTATTTGCAGAAACTGATTGGGCTTGATCCGTGTATGAAAAGAAATATCTACTTCAAAGAATTATATATTGTTTGGGGAAATCTAGTCATATGGAGAAGTAAAAAACTAAGTGTGATAGACAGAAGTAGTGCAAAGATAGAATTTAGGGCAGTTGCTCATGGAATATGCAAAGGGCTATAGCTTTAGATATTGATGGGAGAACTACAAATTCACATGGAGCGTCCTAAAATGCTCTACTGGGACTGCAAGGCTGCCATAAAAATATCCCCTAATGTAGTTCAACGTGATTGAACCAAACATGTTGAAGTGGATAAACATTTCATCAGGGAGAACATAGCAGAAGGGATGATATGCTTGATGTAACCCTGTATTAACACTCCTAAAGATGATTTTGAACAAAAGGGTGGTGAAAAGATTACCCTGTCCAAGGAAAAGCCTACACCTCACACAAGACCAAACCACTAGAGGGAAAGCTAGAGAAGCCTTATACTCTCAACAAGACCGAATGATCACCCCTAAGAAAATCGTCCCTTGGTTTATGCCTTAAAACACAAGATCAGGCCTTAATTATGGCTTCAGAATATGGGATGTTAGTATGTTACACCTAACATATGTTCCCATAAAAAATAGTTGATACATTCACTGATATATTCAATAAAGGGTTTCTTTTCATTTATGTTCTAAGATTTCATGAGCTAGTTGGCATGAATAACATCTATGATTTAACTTGAGTTGAGCATGGGTAAACCTATAATTACTTGTAATTATTATTTCGTAGCTAGTCAAATGTTATTATGAGATTAATCCTAGTTGTTAACATAGCTGATCTTAGTGACTGATTGGTGGACTTTGATTCTTCTGAGTTAGCCTAGCCTAGTTTGTGCTCTAAATCTCTCTTGGGGCACTATTTAATGTATTGTAATAATCAGAGTTGCATATACAAGTTTTGGCCCTATCAAATTGAAATATAAATTTCTGCAATAGTTAATCAAAATCCTAGTCCTAATAAAATAAAGGGAAAATTACTGAAAAGTCCTACACAAGGATTTCAATTATTTTAAAGTCCCATGAAATGTACAAATTTCTGCCAAGTCCCCAATATTGTGCAATTACAACTTGACAAAGGAAAATGACAACTTGATATTAAACTCATACCCAAATTGTCATTTTCTTTTGCCAATGCATTTGGGAGTATTTTGGCCTCTTAGTAATTAAAATCCTTACGAGTCATTTTCCCTAAAATGAATGAAGGGATAACAATCCAGGCCTGAACATCAAAATTAATATGATTACTAATCTGGCTAATGTTAAAATTCCATTGATTTTTATATATTTTTAAATGACAAGATAATCAAAATCTTTATCTTATCCTGCATCACCTTATATTTTAAGAACTTCAACCATGAGCTTGATTTGCTCTGGAAGTGGCACCAAGTGTGCATAGCTGATTCTTCATTGGATTTAGCGCTTGTCTAAAGTCTTTGTGACGTATTATGATCATGAAAATTAGTCATATTGAAATGCACTTTTGACCAAAATTACAAGTCTGTATGAGTTTTTTAATTAACCCAGATCAAATGTGTCAGAATTTCTTATATTCATTAAAAAAAAAATTGTCTTGATTGTTTTAATGGTTTATTTCCATCTTCTGCCTAGTGATTTGCATTATTGACGTTCACTTCCTCTCTAAAAAAATTGTAGATTAGCAGAAAAAGTTATTCTGGAGTCACTGAAGAGAGGAGGAATCCTTATTGGGTGACATTTATTTTATCCCTATTATTTCTTGTTTCAGTTGCAATTTGTTTAAACATAACGATTATTTTTCTGTGCCATGATAATATGTGTCTGGCTTCTGGGATAGTGATGTTGATGATATGATGACCAAACGCTTGGGTGCTGTTTTTATGCCACATGGCTTGGGACATTTCCTTGGTATCGACACACACGATCCTGGAGGCTACTTGAAGGTCTTAAAAAAATTCACATGCAGTCAAATTTAAAGGGTAAAATTGCACTCAAGGACTGCTGGAGGAGGTTATTTTTCAAAGAGGACCAACACATTATGAAATTACACTGCAGGACCAAATTGAAAGTATGTTTACAATGAAATTACACTGTGGGACCAAATTAAAAATACGTTTACATGAGAAATCCAGCAATATCCTTGGTTATTTTTCTTCATTCTGTCATTTTAATGTTTAAAAAAATGACAGAAATGAAAGGAGGGTAGATTTTAATAATAATAATAATAATGATAATGATAATGATAATGATAATAGTAATATGTTTACAATGAAATTACACTGTAGGACCAAATTAAAAATATGTTTACATGAGAAATGACAGCAATATCCTTGATTATTTTTCTTGATTCTGTGATTTTTCTGTTTAAAAAAATGACAGAAATGACAGGAGGGTAGATTTAAACAACAACAACAACAAGAAGAAGCAAGGATGTTACTTTTTCTCATTTAAACGTATTTTCAATTTGGTCCTCTAGTCTTGCAGTGTAATTTCAGGATGTGTTGATCTTTTACTGAAAATAACCTCCTCCAGCAGTCGTTGAGCTTGATTTTTCCAATTTAAAGCCCCCTCCTTCGTGTTCTCTAAATGACCATTTAATCATAAGCTCCTGCAAATTGTCTTTCATGTGATGTCTTCTAAAATTTTGGCATTTCTGCAGGGGATGCAAAGACAAAAGGAACCTGGATTAAAGTCCTTGCGTACATGCCGAGAGCTCGAGGAAAGAATGGTCAGTTCTAACTTTCTCAGTCACCAAAATTTGAGTGACAAACATGAGTTTTACTGGCTGGATTATATTTTACATTGGATTAATCTCAACTAGAAATTTATGTTCTCTCTTTCTGTGTGATGTCAGATATCACATGTAACTGCACACATGATAGGGTACCGAATAGTGTGTGATATTGGGTGATGTGGGGGAGATTAAGAAATATTAAGAACAATTATTATTTTCAAGTTATTTTAGATATTATCTGTTTAACAATATTTTATAGATTGTTTTTCTGTTTAGTTGAGTGGTCCTTAAATTTAGTAGTAGTGGGTATTGTAGATTATGTTGGCCATTTTATTTATTTATTTTTTATCAAGTAATTATGCCTCATTATCTGAGTTATTGATTAGTTGAGTATTTTAGGAATTATTAGTTATTTTATAAGTATTGGGGAACATGTAGAAATCATCTAGAAGTAAAATTATCATTTTTATCTGTGGAGATTCTCCTTTGGTTTTATTAGTTGTATGAATTTAAGATTCTTGCTCATCTTCTGTTATAGATAAGGAGTGGAAGAAGAACGTTGTAGAAGTTAGCAGAATTGGAGACAGAATTATTTCTTTAAAAATGATAATTGGACATGAGACTGTTAATATTGTCAGCGCTTATGCGCCGCAAGTCGGGACAGAAGCCAGCCTTAAGGAATTATTTTGGGAGGATCTGGAGGGGTTGATTTGACACATACCACATAGTGAAAAGATTTTTATTGGAGGAGACTTTAATGGGCATGTCGGGAGGGAAGCTGGTCAGTATGCGAGGGTGCATGGTGGTTTTGGTTTTGGAGAGCTAAACAATGAAGGACAAACTCTTCTTGATTTCTCATTGGCGTATGATTTTAAGATTGCCAACACTTGTTTCAAGAAGAGAGATGAGCATCTCATCACTTACAAAAGTGGAGCCTCAAGGTCACAGATTGATTTTCTTTTGGTTAGGAACACTGATAGAAAACTTTGTAAAAATTGTAAGGTGATCCCTGGAGATGCTGTAACGACACAACATAGGGTCCTAATCCTTGATGTATGTATTATGAGTAAAATCCAAAAACGTCGACAAGTAGTAACACCAAGGATTAGGTGGTGGCAATTAAAAGGTGATAAGCAAGATATTTTCAAGCGAAATCTTTTGGATAAAGGAATTTGGGATTCTCAGGGAAGTGCTAACATCATATGGGAGGATATGGCGAAAAAGATACGGGAGGTTGCAAAAGTAGTTTTGGGAGAATCAAAAGGTTCTAGTCCGAGAGATAAGGAGTCTTGGTGGTGGAATAATAGTGTACAGGACAAAATCAAGTATAAGAAGAACTGTTTTAAAGCCATACATTTGTGTAACAATGAGAAAAATTGGGAGAGGTACCGTATGGCTAAGAAGGAAACTAAGAGAGCTGTGGGTGAAGCTCGTTCTAAAGCTTTTGAAGAATGGAAGGAGAGCAAAATATTTATAAGATTGCCAAGAGTAGGGAAAGAAAATCAAGAGATCTAGAACAGGTAAGGTGTATTAAAGATGAAGAGGGAAGAATTTTAGTTACAGATGATGAAATTAAAAATAGATGGGAGACTTATTTTTCTAAACTTTTCAATGATGGAGAGGATTCATCTAGTAACTTGGAGGATTTAATAACTGGTAAAGGAGAACAAAATTTGTCATTCTATCGAATAATACGTGATAAGGAGGTAAAGGAAGCTCTTAAGAAAATGGCAAATAGTAGAGCCAACGGACCTAATTGTATAGCTATCGAAACGTGGAAATGTTTAGGTGAAGAAGGGGTGAGATGGTTAACTAAGTTATTTAATATGATTTTACGGTCTAAGAAAATGCCTGATGAGTGGAGGAGAAGTACATTAATTCCTATTTATAAAAATAAAGGAGATATTCAGAATTGTACTAACTATAGAGGGATTAAACTCATGAGCCACACAATGAAATTGTGGGAGAAAGTAATTGAGCACAGGTTGAGATTGGAGACAAGTATTTCTGAGAATCAATTTGGTTTTATGCCAGGTAGATCAACTACAGAGTTGATTTATCTACTAAGGGGATTAATGGAAAAGTATCGTTGTAAAAATAAAGATCTACACATGATTTTTATTGATTTGGAAAAAGCTTATGACCGTATACCAAGAGAAGTGCTTTGGAAAGCGTTGGAAAAAAAGGAAGTACGGATTGCTTATATTAAAGCCATACAAGATATGTATGAGGGGGTAAAAACTAGTATAAGAACGCCTAGTGGTCAAACAAAGGATTTTCCTATAAAGATTGGACTACATCAGGGATCATCTCTGAGTCCTTATTTGTTCAACTTGATTTTAAATGTTTTGACGGAACATATTCAAGAGGAAATCCCGAAATGTATGCTCTTCGCGAATGATATAATTCTTATAGCAGAGACAAGAGAAGAGGTTAATTGCAAACTTGAGTTATGGAGGAGGACATTGAAGCCGAAAGGTTTTCGTCTGAGTAGAAGTAAGACAGAATATTTATATTGTAAATTTGGTAAAGGACTATTCAAAAATAATTTGGAAATGAAATTGGGAGATCAAATTATACCTCAAGTGGAAAAGTTTAGATATTTGGGAGCCATTATTCAAAATGATGACGAAATCAGTGGAGATATTTCACATAGAATTCAAGCTGGGTGGTTTAATTGGAGAAAAGCTAAAGGAGTTATTTGTGACCGTAAGGTGCCTAATAAACTTAAAGGAAAGTTTTATCGCACTGCTATCAGACCGGCAATGTTATATAGTAGTGAATGCTGGGCTCTAACGGGATAGCAAGAGCATAAAGTTGGAGTAGCAGAGATGAGAATGTTACGATGGATGTGCGGACATACACGTAAAGATAAAATTCGAAATGAGCACATATGCGAAAAAGTGAGAGTGGCTCCTATTGAGGAAAAAATGGTAGAAAATCGGTTGAGATGGTTTGGGCATGTACAAAGAAGACCAAGAGAGGCACCAGTGAGAAGAATGGAACATATAACTTTGAGTCCGATTAAGAGAGGTAGAGGAAGGCCTAAAAGAACACTCTTGGAAGTTGTTGAACGCGATCTCTTAATTAATAATATTCCTAAAAGTTTGATAAATGATAGAGCACAATGGCGTCTTGCAATCCATGTAGCCAACCCCACCTAGTGGGATAAAGGCTTGTTGTTGTTGTTGTTGTTGTTGTTGTTGTTGCTCATCTTCTGTTAAATATTTTCCTTTAATCTTTATTAATTTATGAAGTTAGATTTTTATTTCATATTTCAATGAAGATTTATTTTCTTCATTTTTCTTTGTCTATGTTGGATCCTATCTACGCATCTCTTCCATTAGCTTTCCCCCTTCCCTGAGATGGCTCAGTGATGATGCACGTAAAACTTTGGTCACTTCATGAGTGGAGCTTTCTCTTTGTATTGAATGGTCTAGTTGTGTCTAGTATCTGCATGTCATCACAAGATGATTATGTTTATAGGGGTCATGTGTCACAAATTTCCATGGCAGTGGTGAAATTTGAATTCAAAACAATTATAATTATTTGTTAGCCGCTAGTTGTTTTGGTTAGCCTTGGTTCTTTGCCTTGGATGCTCCACTGGTTACTCATCCCTTGCTAATTACTATTTGATGGTACTTAAGTGAGATGGGAACCATATCCCAAAAGCTAGCTGTTGAGTTGAAAGAACCAGCTCACTTGAATACTTTGTTGAGCATCCTATACTATTCAATGTGGGACTTGGTATCCCATACCATCAAGTCTTCATTAATTTGCCTACCCATGAAAAACCAATGTCTCAACGGTTGCACTCTATAGCACCTAATTCGGCTTTCTGTTGGTGAGAATCCTTTGTAGGTAGCCTTCTCTAGAACTGCCAATGATCTAACTTTGATATCAATTAATGATACCTAAGTAAGATGGGGAACATTGTCTCAAAAGCTAGTGATTGAGGTGGGCAAACCAACTCACTTAAATAACTTATTGAACATTTCATATTACTCAATGTAGAATTTGGTATCCTATAAAGTTTCTATCACTATTGCAATATAGAAATAAAAACAAGATGATGATGTGGGTCACATTTGGCATCTTTTACACTTTCAGGTTATCACGGTGGAGCCTGGATGCTACTTCATTGATGCTTTGTTGCTTCCAGCCATGAATAGTTCGGAAACTTCAAAATTCTTCAACCAGGGAGTGATTAAAAGGTTTCAAGGTTTTGGTGGTGTTCGAATCGAGAGCGATATGGTATTTTGTCTGCTTAACTTTTTTGAGGGCAGCCAAATTTATAATTTAGCTTTCACTGTTCTTATAGATGTTAAAATTAGCAATGCTTGTTTGTTTATTAAAAAACAAGTTTCTGGCAATCACATCACATCTCTGACTTAAACAAGAAACCCGTCTGCATGGAAGTATTCAATTCTTTTAATTAAACACATAGTCTGGAAGAGCATTACATTTTTTGACATTTAAAAATTTTTCATTTCTGTAAATAGGGAAAATGAAACTTTTTGTCCCTCAAGTTTGTCTCATTTATTGATTTACTTCCTTAAATTTAGTTTTTATTGATTTGGACATCTATATTTTCATAAATTATCACATTAGTCCCTTATATTTTAAAACACAAATTAACTCTTAAATTAATCTAATGTGTAAGTATAATGATGACTTGGCATGTATATATAATTAAATAAAAACAAATTAGTCTTTAAATCATTTTAATTTTTATCAATATAGCTCATTATGTTACATTTTATTCTTTTTTTGAAGAAAAAAATTGAGTATGTTTTCCCCTACTTAAATAATTACATTTATTTTTATTAACCTACATGGCTATTATTGATATTCTATTATCTGTGTCAGTATATCTTAATAGTGTTGCTCTTTTTTTTTTTTAACAATAAAGACTAAATTGATAATCGAGGAAAATTTAAGGGACTAGTTTAATAAAACTTAAACTTGAGGAGCAAAATCAAGAACTAAGGCAAACTTGAAGGGCAGAAAATTTCATTATCCCAAATAAATAATAATAAAATAGTGACATTGGATTTTGTTATATATATTGATCATGTGTTAGGACTATATTGTCTTACTTTCCACATTTTCTTTTTTTTTTATTCAAAACAAAATAAGTGGTTTTTAACACCACTTATTTTGTAACTAACTCTTGTTATGAATGCCGTAATTTTAAATTTAAAATTCACGTAGATTTGATTTGGAAAATAGCTTGAGTGCTTATGCTGCCTTTTCCTCCAGAAATCTCTCCCTCTGTTGGTTTCTTCAATTCAGCATTTTTACTCGTTAAAAATTGTTCAGTAGTTGGGACATTTGGACTTTTTTTTTTTTTTACCTTTGAAATTTTACCAATTATTTAAAGAAGGAAAAACTAATTTTCTAGTCTCTATAATTTTGACTCAGTTGTAATTTAGTCTTTAAACTTTGACTTGTTATAATTCAATGTCTTAATTCTTTTAGTTTTGACTCAGTTGTAACTCATTTTTTGAACTTTAATTTGATGAAATATATTCTCCATAATTTTAACCATTTACAATACTTGCCCCTATATTTTAGAAAATAAAATTATAATGATTAAATTTATTTTAAACCTAGTCTAATATAATTTTATTTTTAAAAATATTGGGACCAATATTAGTGAGTTGTGTCAAATCAAAATTTAAAGACTAAGATATAATGAGTCAAAACTATAAGAATTGAGTTACAAGTTAAAATTTAGATATTAAATTACAATTGACTCAAAATTAAAAAAATCAAATGATTAATTTTCCTTTTAAAGAAATGTTATGACAGTACTCTAGTTTTTTTTCTTTGTTTTTTGTTTTTGGCCCCTGATACTTACTGGCTTTCTCTGTTATTTGTACTTATTTCAATCTGATGTAATCAGCTTGTTACTGCCGATGGTTGCAAGAATATGACCAATTGTCCACGAGAAATACATGAAATTGAGGCAGTGATGTCCGGAGCACCATGGCCACTAAAGAACACATCTACGAATGTAGGCAATAGCTTAAACATTAAAGAGCTAATCTGATCAGCTTCATTGATGTGAACAGGCTCCCTCCCATCTCTTACTAGTTTTTTGATAGATACAGAACAAATCTTGTGTGTTCTTTTCATATAATGTAATTTCTGAATGGATGTTGGAAAAAAATTAGAATAAAATTACTCCAATCTTATGTTTATGCTATTTGTGCAGCACTTTGAAAACATAGCTTTGTTTGTTTAGATGCAAATTCTTCCTAAAGGAAGATTTGTCTAAGCTAATGATTTTGGAAATATTATGATTTTTAAAAGGATGGTTACTATGAATAAGGTGGTGGATTGATTTTTTTCTCTTTTAAATCAGAAAAATTTTAAAATGATATTTTATCATCCTTATGATCATTTGATTCCTGCTCTTTCTCTAGAAAAGAAAATTTTCTCTACATAATATTTTCATTGCTCATTGTAATTTGTTGGGTTCTGTGGTTAATTTTTTTTTTTCTTTTAATTTTTTTGGTTTTAAAATGGGAGGTTTGAAATAAAATAGTACAAAAAGGTGAGTCATCTAGCCTAATAATTGTCAAAGATGATTTATTTCTATAGAAGGTGGTGTTCAGGTTTTTTATGCTTTCTTAAATAACATTTAAAAAAAATCCATATGATTATTTTATACTCTCCTTTTGAAAAGAAAACTATTTTTAAATTCTATACAGTTGTTTTGATTTTATTTCTCCAAAGATAGATATCGAACAGGAAAAAAATCCGTTGCCCACTCAATTTATTTTGTCTTTCGAGAATTTTTCACGTTTTAAATAGTATTTTTGTTTCTAATGTAATTTGCCAGATTCTGTGGCCATTTGTTCACGTCTGTTCCTTTTAATTTTTTATTTCTTTTATTTATTTAAATGAAGAACAAAATCAAAACTATCAAGGGGGGGGGGGTGTCCTGAATGTTCGCCGTAGGTGAAGAACAAAATTGTTACTTTTACTCTGTCTCTGCTCATGAACGATATCAAGAAAAATGAAAATCATTCACAAGTTGAACGATAGCCAACTAATTTTCCACTGCGTGGAAGGAAATTCAAAACGATCTTTCCCTCTTGAGCCCAGTTCCAAAAGCTTATGCTCTTATAAACCTTCACAAGGCCCACGAGGGATTTATCTACAGAGAATGATATATAGAGGTTTTAAAAAAATTAATTAATTTAAATTAAATTTTAAATAATAAATTTTAAAAATTAGTTTATGCTCTTGTGAATGATATCAGCGTTTTTCTTCAATCAACAAAATCTAATTAATTTTATATTATTTATAAGTTTGGTAAAAGTATTCATAAATGTGGTTCTACCAATGATAAAAATAATTTAAAAAATTACAACTTTTTATAAATAAAAAAATTCAATCAATAAAGTCTAACTAATTTTATATTGTTCACAAGTTTGACATACAAATTTGCAAGTGTGACTCCACAAATGATTAAATTAATTTAGAAAATTATTATATTTAGAAAATTATTATTTTTTATTAGATTTGTATGATTAAAATGTCATTTCACCTTAAAATTTATTGACAGATAAAATCTCTTGGAACTTGAAAGGGAGACTAAATTGTCATTTCTTTATTTTATAATGATTTATCTGTTAAGTTTGCTAAAAATTATCAATGTTTTTTTTATCAATACTTGTGATGTGATGCTAAGTCGTTTTCAAACATTTCACTGCCAGGATGATCAATGATGGCTAGGATAAATAGTGGTGACTTTGTCTTCGGCTACATGTTACAATTCACTTTGGCTAGTTAACCCAATTTTGTTTCCCTCCAAATGATTTGAATGCTTTTAATTCCTGCCATTCTTGTCTTATTTGTTTTCCCTTTTTCCGTCGGCACAAATTGTTGGTGCAGATTATGTTTCTTCTTTGATAAGTATACTGTTGCTATTTTGGAATTTCAATAATGTTACCTCTCGCTCTATGAGTTCCTCCCATTTTGTCTTCAATTCTTCAATGGTGACAACGTTCTATTTCAGCTGGTAAATGCTGCCTAGATGTTTGGAGAGCATACCTTGATAATGCACCCTCGATGGACTCGTCGTGCTCTTCATTATTTTCCCCATTGTTCCATGGTCTATGTTAATTAATTTACCAAGATAGAATATTTAGAAAATATGATCACTCTTATGATAGATGAGGTGAAGTATAGACTCTATAGTCATTTATAGTATTACTTTTGTCTCAAATTATAAAATATTTTTAAAAAAGTTTCTCTATCTCAAAATATAAGATATTTTAAATAGATTAATATTTCATTAAATATACTAATTTTAATATTATCTTTTTTCTTTTTATAATTAGTTTCCATTCTCTTTCTCTTTGATATATTAAATGATATATATTTTTAAAAGTTTATATTTTTTTTTAAAAAATAAAGATATTAAGTGTATTCAATAAGATTTATTAAAATATAAAATTTTATTTAAAAATATTTTATAATTTAAGATGAAGGGAGCGTATAGAGTTTGTTTTGACAGCTCAACACGTCAGAAGAAAGAGAGAGCAACTTGATAAGCGCGAACAAATATTGAATAAAGAATATAAAGAAAATACATAAAGAATCTGTACTACGTATTTTCAAGCCTACTGGACTTTACAAGATGATCTCCACATTTGGGCTAGGACTCATTACTCGCTTGGGCTTGATGAGTTTGGTCTGGTCTTCATCATTTCCCCGCAAACAAAAGGCCATTGGTAATAGCCTGACTATAAATGCACATTTGATAGTAAATAAGAATAGAATTTGATTCATATTTGATTAAATTTATTAATATTTCAAACATATTTGATGGTTAAATAGGTGTGATTAGTTCTAAGCACAAATATTAATTATGCTTAGTATTGTGTTATGTGCAGATAAATGTGTTGAAAGTATAGGTAGTGAGAAATTACTTACTTGAGGAACTTTGATGACTAGAAGCAAAGGTAACATTTATTAATTTGTTATGGTATGTATGTCTTGTCATTAATTGTAGGGGTGAGCAAAATCGAATCCAAATTGAAAATGAAACTGAATCGAATCGAATTTTATCTATTTGATTCGGTCTATTTGATTTTTCGGTTCGATTAAATTTTTTTATTTTAAATATTTCGGTTGATCAATTCGACTTGGTTAGTAAAAATTTAAATCGAATAAACCGAACCGACCAAATTACATATAATTTATTAATTTATAAATTATATCTAATTTATAAATTATTTTATTTTATTTTTATTTTTCATCACTCACGTGTCTGTTTTATTACAATTATATATTTAGCATGGCTGTGACTAGATTATGGTATTATGACTGAATTATGAGGCTATTATTTAATCATTGGTATTTATTTGTGGTTATTTATTTGATTATCCATGCCTTTATAATATTTGGACTTTATGTCATATGAGTGTAATTAAAATGGGCTCATATTGAAAAAAAAAATGAATAGAAAAAAGGCTCAATTTTATAGTGTTGTTTGTTTTAATATTTAAAAAAATGGGCTCAATTTCAATAGCTCAATATGAAACTAAAAAATTAAATTAACCGACCAAACCGAATTATCAAATTTCGATTCAATCCTTGTTCGGTTTGATTAGTTTGTTTAGTTCAATTCGGTTTTTATTTTTAGTGTTATTTGATCAATCAGTTCTATATATTTTAGGAAAGAATCGAACTGAACCGACCAACATTCACCCTTAATTAATTGTGTGTATTTTGTTGAAAAAGATTATTGTTTGGAAAATGCCTTATGTTATGTATATTAGTGGGAACAGGTTTACCATAGGCAAATAGAAAGGGTTAGCTTTTTCCCTTACTGTACATTCCATTAGTTGCGGCAGGGACTTTAACTTCTGGAATGCACAAGACAAATTTGAGTGAGCTGAATCATTTTGCCAAATAAAGGGAGGTTACCTGGACATCCCAGTCCCATTTTGAATCGGACAAAATTTGAGTCTCAATTATTTTTTAGCATAGGGTGTCTTGCTTTCATTTTGGAAATGTCCTGATTCTATACCGTCCTATAAACACCTCTAGTAAAAATTAATATAAAAGGTAAAATGTGACACAAAGGACTGATTGCTAGTTGTTCAGATTTTTCTATACTTTCTTTAAAATATGTATTTTTAAAAAGAATATTCATATGATCATTTGTTGTTTGCCTCTCTTTCTTTGGAAAAGACAACCAACTTGAAAATTCTATAAAACTATTTTTATTTTGTTTCTCTAAAAATATTTTCTGAACATGAGAAAAAAATTGGCTTCCAAAAAAGATTTTTGACCCATCCATATTTCTGAGATTTTTTTTTTCATTCATTAAATATAGTATTTTCATTTCTCATGATAATTAGCCAGTATCCTTCCTGGTCATAGGACCTGGTTTGGATGCTCATCACTAGGGCTTCTTACTGTGATGAGATCTGGACCATTTAAACAGATTTTTATTATTAATATGTATTATATTTTTTAAAATAAAAATTTATAAAATTTATGAAATAATTGTAATAAATTTTTATTTTTAATATAGTTTAGATTTAATTTGAAGGGTCTAACTTAATATTAAAATTTTTATAATTGATATATATTAACTATCTAAATGTACTCTGCATAGCTTAGATTTAATCAGGTGTTAATTTGGACTATACATAGTACATTTGAATAGTCCATATATAGTAATTATAAAATTTTTAATATTAAATTAGATCCTCCAAATTAAATCTAGATCACATTAAAAATAAAAAATTTATTAAAATCATTCTATAATTTTTATAAATTTTTATTTTAAAAAATGTAATATATAATGATGACTTAAATTTGAACCATCCAGATACTCTAAATTTTATCATAGTGATGAGCACCATGGTGCTCACAATGATGAGCACCCAAACCAAACTCTTAGTCCTCATTTTCTTTTCATTTGTTCCTTTCAATTTTTGATTTTCTACTTTTTTTTTCTTAGATGGAGATTTAAAATAAAATAATATTAAAAGGAAACCCATTTAACCTAATAATTTTAAAAGATGACGGGTAGAACGATTATTCAAATAAACAAGGTGTTCATATTTTTTTTATGCTTTCTTTAAAGGATTTTTTTTTTTTAAAAAAAATACCGATACGCTCATTTTGATGCCAAATAGTAGAGCACAAAGTTTGCATGATATTGGTTCCCCTATATGCTATCAATATTTATATAATGCTTACTTGAACTAATAACTTGTATATGGAGCAGAACTTGTTCACATAGATTTATCCAAGTTAAAGAGATGATTTGAAAAAGAAAAGACTTTCTGAAGAAAGGATTAAGAAGATGAATTTAAGAAGAGATCTTAATTAAATATGGAAGAACAAGAAATGTACAGCTTCTGTTTCCAATTAAAAAGAATCATAATATGGAGAACTGAGATAATGCTCAAGTTTTTCATTACATGGTCGACACTGAACAGTTGTTTCAAAGCTTCAACATTTAAGAGACGCACTGAGCCAAGTTCATTGGAACAGGACCATGCAATTTGCCGATTTGTAACGCATTTAAAAACATGGGGTTGATGGGTTTTCCCAACAATTTAACAGCCGGTGCTTACCTCTCTTTCAAAGAATCTACTGTCTGTGAGAGCTCTAATAATGAAGAGAACTTTGAAATCTCATTGATAGTTTACAATTAAGCCTACAATAAATACTTTATCTTAGTCAAAAGGCTTGGGGGAAAAAAAAAACTATATTTTTCTCTCTCGTCTCGGTCAGTTACTTTACTATCACCCACCAAAGCACTCTTTAAGAGGCCAACAGAGGTCTTCACTGCTAAGGTAGAACTTGTGAAACTCTACTTTGATTGCCTTTCTTTTTCGGTGAATTAATTTGATTGCCTTTCTATTTGTTCACTCGAAAATCTTTCTTTCATTCTTTCAGTCTTTCTTTTGCACTAACCACTCGACAATCCTGGGAACAAACAACAGAGGCCTATAATAAGCTTTGTCAACTTATCATCAGGAAAGCCTAAAGTGGTTCGGCAATCAGGTGATTAGTGCGGGAATTAGAGTTCCGACTTGCCCTTCTTTGAAGAGGTTGTCTTTTTTCCCCTCCACCACGGTCGTATACGATTGGAGACCTTATTTGCATGTTTCTTCAGTGTCATGCTTGCCTCTGCAAATCCTTTTCTTAGCTTCTGTTTCCAGTAATTTTTTGGACCATCTTTATCCCTCAAAACTTTTCCCTGTAAGATATGGGTTTCTTCAGTGATCAGTAATTCCAAACAAAGGTTGCAAGCAAAATGGGAAATTAGGATATATTGTTAGTACCAATTTTAATGGTAAATCTGCTTCGTCATCATCGTCATCATCAGCGCCAAAATTCTGCATGTTCATCAAATCATCCCTTGAGTACATCTTCAAACTCGGTGCTCCTGGCATGCCCTGAACCAAATGAATTACAGTAAGAACAATGTTACAACCATGGCTAGAAATTAAATGCTATGACCCCCAAGCCCAGGCTTTAATTCAAGCGGTAAAGAGGTTAGGGTGGAGGGCTGGTCTATGGTTTTGTTCATGTTAAGTTCAATCTGTACGTAATATTCTCCTCTCTCTCTCTCTCTCTCTCTCTCTCTCTCTCTCTCACTCTCACACGTGCGTACATGTAAGATGGAAATAAGAAAACCTCCATAGATTTTTGTAGCTTTTCCATTTCAGCCTCCTTTGACGACTTTGGAATGAAGGGCTCTCCAGCACTCCTGTCCTGCATCACAGATCATCATCTGATGAGAAGTAAAGAATATAGTTATTCCAACAAAAATATTAGGGGCACTTAAAATTCCAGTCCTCATGCAAGTGGGAATATGCTCTGACAAAAAAGTATGATAATCTATGCTAGCAGATGCCAAATTCAATAACCATTAAGCACTTGGATCAATTGGTAAGAGAGTTGATCTAGCTTAATCAAAGGCCTTGAGTTTAAACTTTGAGTATGCTACAGCTATTGAATTCTCAATAGGAAGCAAGCCTCTCAAAGGATTGGCCACGAGCTGTTGACCAGATTAGTCTAGGTCAAAAACCTAAGATAGTATAACTCCTTCAAAAAAGATGCTAGACGCAATATGATAAAAGAGGCTCCAAGTTAAGATGAATCACAATCTAAGTGGAACCAGTAATCATAATTCACTAGCAAGTCATAAAATGCTACTCTTCAGAATGGAGTTACCATAGGGACAGGAGGTGGCTTGGTACTGCATGCTTTAGTGATGTCTTTACACAGGAAATTGAACAGCGAATCAATATTAGGCTTGGAGTTGTAAAGATATTCAGCAACATCTGTATCATAATATCCAATTACCTGCAATTTCCAAATTAGCAAGTGATGAGATAGTACATGTTCCTGCAATCCTGCTCATAGACTTATATAGTAAAATTACATGAGCTGATAAGCATATCGAATCATCAGAGAAAGCAAAATTTAGACAAACATGATCGACCAAGTTTCAGATAAGTCAATAGAGTTCAGACGAAAAAGTGTCATACCTCTTGACAAGCACGCTCGATTGTCTTGCATTCAGAATTGCATTGTCCCTCAGACTCTTGCTCCACCAGCTGATAAGAGAAAAAGTTGAAAGCAAATGTCCGGCTATCGCTAATCAATATCAATATTTAATATAAAATGTAGCATTTAGTGCTTCTGATTTCTTCACATTTGTATGGGTTAAACTTAAATGACTTCAACCAACAATTATACCTTAACTTTTATTCAATCAAAGTGCAATGCAAACACCGAGAAAGCATAACATTGTCAACTTTCAAGATGCATCATAAAAAAGAACAACTTGGTAAGTTCAATGCTCTCACCTCTAACCTATCTTCTTTTTCTACAATATCTATATGCAAAATCCAATCTGCTCCTGCCTTTTTCAGGTTGCAAACATTCTCTGCTATCTCAATGACCTGGTACTCTGATATCTAAAGCGTAAATCATTCAAAGTTTAGTTAAAAACAATGAAAAAACCCAAATGCTATCAATCAGAAAGACACGATGAGGCGATTGAATGAGGCAAGGCCAGAGGGCAAAAAGTATACCTTCTTTGGGATGATCTCTACTTGCTTTTTCTGAACCTGCAGATACAATTGCTTCGCGAGCTTTTCACAGACTCGGCATTTGATGTACGGAATGTCTTCCTTTCTAGCGCTTCCCACGGGCTTCTTGGAGCATTGCAAAACTGGAACGCAAGCTGAAACTATGACAGAGACAACGATAACATAAAGCAATCCCTTCATCTTCTCCAGAGTAAGTCTAAGTCTCTTCTTCTATTGAAACTGAAGAACGAAAAGCGAGTCACCCAGAAGAGACCCTTTGAATTGGACAAATGAATATTTCAAATTGAAGCTATGACGAGGCATTTTAATTTATAATCACGATCGAGTTTGTTGGAGATGTATCATACTCGCAAATCTTGCATGCAATCGGGTGAGGGAACAGTGGGTCCCTTCTTCTTTTCGACCAATAAGGTGCAACATAACACGTCGTATCGCTTTGATTTTGATTTCAAGAGTTTTCCCGGAAAATTATGAAGTAGTAGGTCGTCCATCGTCGTCTTTACGCATTATGAAAATATTGCAGATTGTCGATTGACCGCGAATAAATGAAACAGTGTTTGGAACTTTCAGTTTTGTCATTACACCCTTATTTCATTCACTGAATTCCTTATAGTTATCACACGATTCTCTTCATTTCCTTTTTTTTTTTTTTTTATTTAAGATCTTGGTCTCCATAAGTGAACATATTTACACACATAATTCATGAAATCTAGAAAGTAAAGTACATCATGACTTACACATGTTATAAATTTAATATTCTTCTTACCAATGTATAATATACTTTTGAAAAAGTCTGACATATCAAAATATAGGATACTTTAATTAAAATAAAATTTCATTAATAATATTTTTAATATTATCTTCTTTTAATATTCTTTCATATAGAACTTAAATAAAAACATTTTTAGAATTTTATATTTGTTCTCTTGAAAAGATAAATTTATAAAGCACTTTTTAATAAATTTTATTGATATAAATTATTGTATCTAAAAATGTTTTATAAATTAAGATGAAGATAGTACTATATTGATTAATATTATATACTGATTATTATTATAAAGGAATTAATTATTGATCCACAACAATGGCAATATATAGCAGTTTCTTTGCTAATACTTGTTCACACATTTTTTATCAGTTTGTGGCACCTCTCTATCTAATTTTTTTAATTAAAAAAATAGTTTTTTTTTTTTTTGTTTTGGGGGAGGGGGTTTAAAAGAGCATGCACGACATCATAAATTGGGAGTTCTTGGTTATTGATTACTTGTATCACAAAAAAAATCAATAAAAATCCAACATGAATTTACAGACACAGCTCCTCTAACACCTTTTTCCTCCATCACTACGAGACATTTGACTGAGGCTGACTGGCTAGCTCCAAATGAATGAATGATGCAAACATCTACCCTATTGTGTGTGTGTGTGTGTATATATATATATATATATCTTCTGACTTATTAATCCCCTTTTATCTACAAATCCTCCTCCTCTATCCTTTCAACAATTACTAACAAAATAAAATAAAAATTAAGAAGCACAAAACAAGTCAGCTTCAGATTACAAAAATCTCTCTGGTAGGCTTAAACTCCGAGCGAAACACGGGTCTTTATAGGCTTCAGCTTCAACCCCATGCTTTCCGGAGAAAGGAGCTCCGGCGAGATGCAAGACGGGCTGAGTGGGCTCCTTGGGCTATCGCTGAGCTGACACGGCCGACAAAGCCCATAGCCCATGAAGAAGTACTCCATCGGAATCAGCATTGCATGTGGCTGTTCCTCTGTCACCATTGATCCACAAGCCTGGACCTGCAAAATCAAAATCAGCCCCCACTCTCATACCTGAACTTGCTGCTTATTCATGAATATATCCTCTTCACCTAGTAATTATGTTCTCACCGGCCCCACCTAAGAACAAGGCTATTTTTTTTTTTTTTGGCCAAAAGGCTTTGTTACATGTACATAGTAATTATGCTATTATGCATGTAAAGCCTCCAGGATGTCATCTACTCAAGCCATACAGCTATGCAAGATTTCATTGGAAACCACATTAAGCCCTGACAAGTCTGATACAACCACATGAATGTAGCTCTCCTAGCAACTTCTTTCTCCAGAGGACAAGATTCAAAACTTGAGAACTTGTTTAAGAAACAAGGGCCAAACCACTTGAATCAACTTATTTATCGTACCAACATTATCATTATTCAATAGTAACAGTCTGTTTTCATTAATCTTTTATTCAATGATAGAAAGGGCATTTCTCATACAAAATCATTTCCTCCATTTCATTTCTTTTTTCCATTTTGTTCTTTTATATGTACTGCACGGGAGCTAAAGAGTCATGAAAACTCCATTATAATTTTATAATGTATGAGCATTTATAACCTCACACGAACTTTCACACTCCGTACCTCAACCAAGGCACTAAATCTCCGATCGAGTTTCGCTGTCATGTGCAGAGACTCGGCATGGAAAGGAGAATTTTCACCAACAAATATAAGTGTACGGCATTGTAGTCTCTTCAATCCTTCCGTAAGGTCTGGTCTCCTGCAAGTTGACAAAACAGACTTAATGCACACGATATGACCGCCAATTCACAGGGTGAAGAAAAACAAAGGCACACAGAAGACAAACAATACATCAGAATCAGCTCTGTTAGTAGATTTTACCGGTTGACTGCTTGAAGAAACCGCAAGACATTTGCGCTCTTCCTCTCATCGAGCAACTGTTAAAGAAGCATGCAAGTAATCTGGTGTAAGCCTTAGTAAAATATTAAATAAATAACAAAAAAGACTGAAATAGCAATCAGAATTAAGTAAGAGGGCAATACAAGGCCAATTTAGTAACTAAATTAGCATGGAACTGACTTTTCTGCAAGCTTGAACTATCTCCGATTCTGGAACTTCATCATTACCACGCACTTCCTGTAATGGATTTCCAAACAATAATTCATAGCAAGCCAAATAAAAGATGCAAGAGAAAGAGAAGCAAGCTACAGGTCTAACAACCTGGCATTACATTGTTATACCTCGCCGAAATATCGTTTAAGCAAGCACTCTTTCAGCAAACCACACATGCCATAAAAATAAAGCAAATTTGACATCACCTAAAAATCAAACATAACCTCAGGTAAAATGGTGAGCTTTTTAAACTCATGAATCAATTAGTTGGCAGGCCAATAAAACGAACCTTGTTATATAACCATTCGGTCCAGGAAGGTGATTTGCACAAAGGAGATACAAGTATTAGGCCAAGAACTCGATCCCTATATTTCATCTGTATCAAACCATAAAAAATCAACTGAAATAAGACTGAGTTCATAGTTCATATAGGCACAAGGCTCAACTTATTAGCCAATTAGAGTGCGTACAGCAAATAGAGTAAGTATATAAGCACCAGCTGTTACCCCCATACACATCACTGCACCCAGCCTGGATAAAGGTGTTCATACCATTAGTAATAAACTAACAATAATTATGGTATAAACATTAGATTTGCTTCTAAAATAAAGTAAGGAAATGCCATTCTAATCCCACTTAGTTTAGAGCCAGTGTTAAGTTGGATGATGCTACTCAAGAGAACAATTGAAATGTCTTCTATAGCCCATCTTGAAAGCTCAATTTGAGTTCAATAAAATAGAAAATTCCAAATGTGAAAAGCTATAGCACATTGAATCAAATTGTAGTTACCCGAAATAATTCAGAATTTCAATTATTTGATCTGCTAAATCTTCAACAGAAAGCACAGGATCATCAGGACCAAGTGCAGCAGCTCCCAACTGCAAGAAATCTTGTCAAAGTTTCAGAGGAGAAATTTCGTGAATAATAATTTTTCAAACTGAGAGAAATAAATGAACAATCAAATTAATTAACTTACAGACCTCATGGCCAGGAGGACTGATATGATATATGCAGAAGTTGTGAAGTAGCAAAGATGCTGCCTCTGAACAGAAAAATAATCCTTGGAAACATGACATGTCTGCATCAAAACAAAGGACAATAAATTCTCAAACAGGTTAATTCATATCAAATTCAAAAAATAGAATAATTGATTATTTGAAAGTAAGCTGAACACACTTACAATTTAGCGCTAAATCTGGATAAGTGATAAGTGCTGGCTTATCCTGATCCCCATATACTATAACAGACACCGAACCACAGCCAGTTTGAATACAATGCTCCTGAAAGAGAAATCCAAAGTGAGTTTGGAGCAGACATGGACAAAAACTAGAGAGAAAGGCACCCAAAAAGAAAAAGAAAGAAAGAAAACCCTGTCCTTAAGGAACGGATATCATCATCCCCTAACATGGATACCATGTGCCTTAACCCTTTTTCTAGAAAACCAAAGTTACAAGCAACTGCATATCAATAACAATGCCAATTTTAAAAAGGATAATTAAACAAGAACTCCAGATGACATTCATCATACGCTCCAAAATAAGTTTTTGAAAGAAAGAAAGGAGAAAACAGTAAAAGCAGAGAAAATCTTCAGTAGAATTAACTTCCCAAGAGATGCACACTGATTTAATGTGAAATAGCTATACAAACACATCAGAGGTGGAGGTTCTGTTCCCTTGGCAATACTATAGCGTTCTAGACTCATAGACCACCTATCTATCCGGGTAGACTAAACCTGGCCCAGTTATCTTGGGTGAAAAGGGAAAAAATAATCAACTTTTTTAAAGCATGAAATACTTTAGCTGATCTAGAAACCAATCAACCTGATGTGTAAACCCGAACGTAATTATACAGGCACCAGTAATAGACCGTAACTAAGTAAAACGCTTCTAAAGAAACAGAGAGATAAACCAAAGAGCAAAGGAATCAAATTTTTTTTTTTTTTAATAATCTTGAACTTCGTATAAGAAACGGCGAAAATGTAAAAGCAAAAACAAAGTATGGTGGGACAAAAGTTCCCTCATCGTCGCAGAGAAAAGAGATAAATTCCTTCACCCGAAAAGCAACAAAAGCTGTGAAGACAAATTTCCGTACTTCTAAAACTCACTAAATCAATTTTCAACCCTTACATGATAAAGACTCTAAACGTACATCTGAGAGACATTGGTATAGGAAGATCGCAAGCAAGAAAAACAGAAGTTAAGAACAGAATTCCAAAATAAACAAAGGAAAAAAAAGTAACACGAAACCGGAAAAGATAACGAGGATGGAAATGCAAAGAATCAACATCAATATTTCAACAATTGGATGATGGAAGAAGAAAATAACATTTAGCAAATAAGGATCCCCGTCACCCACCATTTTTCTTCAGAATCCCTAGAACTTGGCGAAGGAAAAAATATTACCAAAAAGAGGATGATCAAGAAAACAAAGGGGAAAAGAACCCAACGCCAATCCTATTTTGGGATGAACTGTTTCTTTTTCTTCCTGACGTCGAAAATCACATAGCAAATCAAAAAACTTACGCAATCAATGTTAAGTTACATGAAGACAAACTGCCCAAGTGACGTAGAAAACTGACTACCCTTAATTTCTGCACTTATTTTCTCCAGCAAACTTATGTCATTACCCAGAAATTGAAATGCAACGTAACAAACTTTCCACAATCATTCTAGAATAAACTAAAAACAACAATAAAGACGGATTAATCGATCCATTTCATAGCTTTAACCATTAAATCCCAAGACACGAAAGGATCAAACTGGGACCCAGGGGGGTGGGGGAGAACCTTTCCACCGAGATAGATCTTCTCGGAGTGAAGAGGAATGGAATCATTTGAGTCTGCCATGGCCGGAAGCTATTATGAATTGTCTAGAAGCCCAAGAACCGGAAAAGGCTCCTAAGACAGAGCTCTGCGTGCAGTGGTGGGTGTCTGGGCCAGAATCGAGAAATGGTGAAATGGATATGGAATTGGAAGGTGAATGGTGGGATTCGAATGGCTTGTGTAAGAAGCGATTCTTTATCTCACAATATAGGAATTAGGACTCCTTCCTTCCTTCCTTCCTTCCTGTGTCTTTCCCTCCCTCCCTCCCTCTCTCTCCCCATAGAAACTCATTATATTTATATTCTTATGCGGTTAACCACCACCGACGCTTCCATTGACACCAACACCAGATCTAATCAATTAACCCGGGGCATATTACATTTCTTTTTTCCCTTGGAGATGAATAATAAAAACTGAATATACATTTATTTTTTTTTTTCTAAAGGAAAGTTATCTTTCTAATTTTTATTACAGACTGATAAAATAAATTGAAAGAATAAAAATTGTGCATGGTTTTTTAAAAAACATGGCAGTTTATGAGCCGAAAAATTCTTGTACTAAAAAATAATGGATTATTTTTTAAAAAAAAATTAAAAGTATAATTAATTCACATTAATTACTAAGGGTTTATTATTGATATATAAAAAATTTATTATTAAAAATTTAAAAATTTATAAATTGTTTATCATTGATATACAACAGTATATAATTGACATTGACAAATATAATAAATCGACAATAATGCAAAATATAATAAATATTAAGTTATTTGTTTGATTTAATTATATAACATGGGATATATCTATAAAAGCCTTTTAAAAATTTTATATTTTTTATTAATTATATTAATCCATGTTTAATATTTATTTTGAATAATAAAACTCTTGGTCCTTCAACTTTGCTTTAAGTATAAATTTAGTTATAGAAATTTAATCTTTTATCAATCAAGTTTATGTAATTTCATAATCATATAAATTGTTAGTTCTTAAATTATTGTTTCTTTTTCAAATCATAAGAACAAATTGTATTTTTAAAATATAAGGATTTCATCATAAAAGTTGTAAGTTTAAGGACTAAATTAATAACTAAAATATACTTTAAAAAAAATCTTACATTATTTTTTAGAGTTAAGGTGTAAATCTACATTTAAAGCATGGTGCAAGGGGGTATCCTTAACTAAAGAAAAGGGCAATGTTGTCATAATTTTTTTCAAAACAAAGCAATGTTGCCTAATTATAATAGACTTAAATGGTTCACTATTAGTTGACCTGACTCTAAGTGGCATGCCCTCATGGCATCCACCTTACATTCGTTAATGTGTAAATTTGTCCTTGAAGTATTGCACCAAAAACATCTAATGTCCTTAACTTATGAAAAGGGCAATATTGTCACCAATCTTTTAAAAAAAGAATAATGTTGCCTAATATTCCCCTTTCAAAATTTAAAAAAAAAAGTTATCATATAAGCCAAATTCAATAACCATTGACCACAACCACACAACCTCCAACAACCACCATAGAGCACTAAAACAAGGCATATCCTCAGGCCTGCATCTCAAAGATTTTCTACATCTTAAGTTAACCAAATGAACTTCGTGTTCAACGAGAGCATCTTATTGAATGAATCCCTAATTGTTGTGATGAAGTTAGCAATATCTCCAAATTGATGGAATTAACCTGGAAGGTTCAATAGTGACTCTCCACCCTCAAGCTTTCAATCAAGACATCATGGGATAACCTAAACCTTGCCAATGAGACTCTCCTTATGGTGAAATATAAGTCACTAATGGACATTACTAATGGTCAAAAATATCATTCTGTTAACTTTGAATGACATTGCATTGTGTTAAAAAGCTTAGGGGCGATATTACACTTTTGATCAATTAAAATACCAGATACCCTTAGTGCAATACTTTAGAGGTAGATTTGATCTTAACCCTAATAAAAAGTGAGGTGGATGCCACATAGATCACTAACTAAGCATTACTTAGTCAAATTAATGGTTAATATTTGGGGTCCATTAAAATTGGATGACATTGTACTATATTCGAAACTTGGAGGAAGATATTGCTCTTTTCCTTATTTAAGGATACCAGACACCCTTCACTACTTTATAGGCTGGTTTACACCTTAATCTTAATTTTTTTATGCATAATATAATTGATTATGCTAAAATATACGTTTGAGTAAGTGGCGTATGACCCAACAACTTTAAAATTGTAACATCCTAAGTTTTTAACTTAAAACTTTAAATATTTAAGAAAGGTAAGTTAGTCAAAAAAATTTGATTTATAAATTGATGGTGTTTTTGAGACACTAATAAAGTTATTAGACCTTTGGAAATCCTTGAAAATGAGCTAAGATGGTGTACGGTATAATCAGGCTTGAATGGGAAGACAAAATGGCATGTGGCGCTTGTTATGCCATGTGTCATGGCACGCAGCCAAAATCTGGGTTAAATCACATACGAAATCATGTCTGTTTCAAAAGAAAAAAAAGAGAGAAATGAGAGAGGCAATGAAGGAGACATTGAGGGCTGCTAGGGCTAATCCTTAACATCATCTTGAATGCATTTAGAACTTGAACATTATTGGGTAAGCTTCCTACACATCTCCCTCTCTCTTTTATATGAATTTTAACAGTTTTGGGTATAGTTGGGGCTTGATTTTGTCTCTCCTTAGGTTTTGACCAAATCCATTAGTTTAGTTAAGGTCTTGGAGAGTTAAATAAAGTTTTTAAACCTAGGTTTATAAGTTTTGTAGTGATTTAAAATTTTTGATTAGGGTTTGGACAAACTTTATGTGAAAATTGAGAGTTTTGAAACAATGTGGGTAAATAATTAGTGATATTAGTGTGTTTGGGTGCTAAATGAGATTAATGAAATGTGTTGGAAGGGTTGATGTTGATAAAATGAGACTTTAGGTATAATAAGTACCAAAATTTAGTAATTTCGAGGTTTAATTAGAGTGATAATTGACAATTATCACTTAATCATGTAGATTTAGTATTGCTTGAGTATTGTTGTGCTTGTGGACCGTGTGAAGCAAATGTTAGACTATGAAAACCCTTTTTGTGATAAAAAGAGTTGCTGTAATGAAATAATTTACTCTATTTGATTAAATACTTAACTGTTTATGAGTAAATATGTAGTTTGTATACGTGTATTTTGAAAGTATTGCATATTGCAAAAGAAGGATTTTGTACATTTGAAATGATTTTTAAAACAATGAATTTATGAAAATTTCTTATATGAGTAATTTATAGTTTTGGTATGAGTATGGGATAACTATGAGAAGTGTGAATTGTTGGACATAATGACTTGTGATATTATATTTAGCTTAAATTTTGATGATGAAAAATATAAAAAAAAATTAACTATCTACTTATACATAATTGTTTTCATATATTTATAGTAGTTAATTATAATTATGGAATAAGTGCTTTAAAGTATTTTTACTTATGTTGTTTCATATTACATGAGATCTGAAAAAATAATTTGTATGCATTAAATTTATTTTATACTATTATATTTTTTTCTTATATTAAATTGATTATATATCTAAGAGTGTTCATTGCATCATCTTTCATAACTTGGATATATATTGATACTTGGATTAACCATTTTATTCATGATATATCATTTAAGGTTGTTCAACATGAAGATGAGAACGAGTATGAAGAGGAAGAAACTAAAGACTCATTAGCATGCATGCCACACTCAAGATGAGAGAACATAGAGAGAAGGATAATTCAATAAGAGTTTAAAAAGATTAAAGACATTTATACAAACTTGGATACATCTTGGAAACCTTGGACCTATTAGGTATAATATCATTAGAGTAGAAGTCTTTGTGTTAAACTCATTAATTTAGATATAAAATATTGACTCAAGATATTTTAAATCAAAATATGCATTTTATCTCTTAAGAAAAAGAGTAAGATATAATTTTTTTATAATTATATTTTTCATCTTTAATCACATATATCTCACAAAATTTGAAATATTTTGATTATTAAGTTCATAAAGTTTTTAAAATTGTTCTATTCACTCAAAATGGTGTTAAATTGAAAAAGTTATGAACACTTGAAGTTTAAGCTTTAAAATGTCAATTGTGCAAACAATCATATTTGACCTTTGATCATGTTTTTTATCATATCTCTCATTACATAGATTATTTTAATGTGAAATATATCTCATTTGAAAATAGTCTCTAATGGGTTTTCAATAATAGTTTATTTATTCAAAATAGAGTTCTATTGAGAAAGATATGAATTTTAGAAATTGAGTATTGGGATATTAATTTTGCACAGTATTTAAAGTTGACCTTCATTTACTCGTTTGATCATATCTTAAACGTTACATTGAATTTAAGTTTAGAACTTTTTTTTTTATTGAAAACTAAACTTCAAGAGCTTTCCAATGATATATAACTTATTATATTTAGAGTTGTATTGAGTGAGTTAGAGCCTTATGAAATTTTGCATAGTGGCAACCTCCAAAACATGCGTGATTGAAACTAAGACATAAGCGTGAAGCATCCTTAAAAAACCTTAATGTTCAAATCATGCATAAATCACTTCTCATACATGTGTGAAACATCTCCCAAAAGCCTTGTTTTTCACTAAATAGCTTCTATGGTCTAACTAATGCGTGAACCACTTCCCATACACTTGTGAAATGTCACCGAGAAGTCTTTTTTTGACCTAATAGCTTCTGTGGTCCAAATCAAGCCTGAATCACTTTCTATCCATATGTGATTTGTCACTTGGGCAATATCACATGACATTTCAAGCGTGATTTATCACGTTTCAAGTGAGATTTGTCACTTGTGCATATGGAATGTCTATTTCATGTATGAATGAGTTTTGTTCCACATGAGAAACGTTACTAATAGCTATAATCACTGTGCAACAGCTATAAATGGTTATATTAAGTCTCTAA